CTCGATGTAGGTTGTTTTCCAGATAGGCTTTCTGATCAAGGTTAAGGTGTTCCTATGGACTAAGGCTATGCCGTCGCCCCCCTGCCCACTTTCCCTCACCTGCTCACTGACTGAGTACCCAGCTGGGAGAGCCTGCGCCCATATCGCGGAGCTGGCATCCCCCAGCCAGGTCTCAGTAAAGCATGTCAGGTCGGCCGCCCCATCCACTAAGAGATCGTGGATGATATGGGTCTTGTTTTTGACCAGCCTGGCATTGCAAAGGAGCAGGTTGAGGGTCAGTGGAATGGTTGGCACGCTCTACAAGTTATCCTGGGAAACAGAGCAAACTGAAGGAGGGATAGGTATTAAACATCGATCCCTCCTTCTTTTGTAACATTTGTTACCACCATACCTTGCCTGCCCCCACACAACCTGGATATCCGCTCCCAGACTATGGCCAGTTCCGCAGTGCGGAGTAGGAGATGAGTAGCAAACTGATTCCAGTCCCTAATCTAAACAACGGCTGCATAGATGGAAAAGAAGCTGCGGGGGAAGATGGATATATAAGATGCATATTGTTCCTGGAATTCTATAATGTATATAGATCACATAATTTATCTTGGGAGAGACCAGTTTTCATCCCACTCTCTCTTTAGAGTACACACAGTATGGTGTATAATTTATTCTAGAACCTAATATTAGCCTTTAATAAGGCAATGTACAGAGAGGTGTCCTTGAAAGAAAGAGGGTGAGAAGAGTTAGCACTCTTCTTAAAGTCACTGCTGTAATTAAAGCCTGAAGCTTCTTGTTACCATGGAAATCCAAAGCAGCAGAAACTCAGAAATACACAGGTTTCAGGGATGGATTTAATTCTGCCTTAATATTGTCTTTTCTTGAAACTGAACTAATGCGTACTCTCTGTCTCTTCCCCATTCTGCCTCCTCCTCTGTTTTCTGTGCAGTTGCTAACCATCTTGTTCGACATGGTCCATCATCAATGGTCCTTGAATAGAGAACACTTGCTGCCCTTAAAAATAAATTCCCACGCAAAGCTGTCATGCAGTGGGGTGAGTTAAGGGAAGAAATATTTGTAAGGAAGGTAGAAGGAGTACAGTTGTCCCTCCACATTTGCTGAGGTTATGTGAATGTGGAAAAATCACAAATAAATAAACAGTAGTCTTTTTACCTGCAAGCATGCCTCTCTAGGAATCTCTAGGTCCTCCAATGCAACTCTGTGGTCAATATCTGCCAGACGTTGATCATAGAATCATGCCACAGGATATACAAATGCCTAGAGAAGTGTTTTCTCTAGGAACCTCTAGGTCAGGGGTAGGCAACCTTTCCCCTTTAAGGGCCAAGGGACTTCAGCTCCCAGAAGCCTCAGCCATGTTGGCCAATAGTCCCATGTTGGCCAATAGCTCCTGGGATTCTGGGAGCTGAAGTCCCTCAGCCCTTAAAGGGGAAAGGTTGCCTACCCCTGCTCTAGGTTCTCCAGCACAACTCTGTGGTCAACTTCTGGCAGCATTGTGTTGTAGGACCTAGAGATTCCTAGAGAGAACATATTAAAACTGCAAATAATCAAATCCGCAAAAGTCAAAGCTGCAAATGTGGCAGGTCAACTGTACTCTGGTTTTCTGGAAGGCCAAGATGCTACATCACATTTTCCCTTTTCATAAAAGCACGTAGTTAGTTCATGGGTGGCCAGTTCAAATATGGGGGCCTGTGTTGGACCTGGCCAGCAGTACTCCATCCTGTGGACCCTGAGAGTTGTAGTTAGAAGAGGTACTGTACTTAGAATTCTCCACTGCTGTAGTACTACATATCCTTGGCAGATAATTCTAAGCACCTCATGAAACTGCAAATCCCAGTATTCCCCAGGATAAAACCATGGCACTTGCAGTAGTATTAAATTGTTATAATTATGCAGTATGGACACATGACTGGAATCTTTACAATAAAAGTTTTTAAACAATTAAAATCAGCTAGTTCAAAACCATATGAAATGAAATTTTAAAAAGATATCTAAAGCGCACACCCTGTATAAAAACATCTTTGACATGATTGTATATTAAAAGCCTGCTTCAATAAAAAAAAAAATCTGTTTGCCTGCTGGTGAAAGGAAAGCAAGGAAGACACCAACCTAGCCTCCCATGGAAGGGCATTACAGAGGGTGGGAGTAACCATCGAGGAGGCTTTCCTCACCAAGCAAGCCTGTGATGGTGGTGGGACCAAAAGAAAACCTCTTAGGACTCTGACAGGTTCATATGGGAAGATACAGTCTTTCAGATAGTATGCATACACTGCAGAGAGTTTCCAGTTGTTGAAAAGTCCAAAGTCCTATCTGTCTGTCTATTTATCACCTCGCTTGGACCCTCATGGCCAGTGCCCAGTTTCTGCACAAGACATGGCAACGGGGGTGTCTGCTTCCCACTAGGAGCAATGGTGCAGCAAGGTAAGGGGCCATTTAAACAGCCAGGGTTTGCTGCAAAGTTTCTAGGAAACTCCGTTGCAAACCAGGGGTCAAATTGACCTGGGGTGATAGCTATTTACCCCAGTATTGGGCCAGATCCACTGGATCTGAATCCGGTCTCCCAGGATCCAACCCAATCCAGTTTTGGCCTATGTTGTCTAAATAGGATGACATGAGGCAGGGGGAACTCGGGCCTTTTTTCCCATGTGGACAACCCCTTGGATGACAAAACCTTTCTTATCATGGAAGTTCATAATCAATTCTTCAGATTTACTTAAAGTTCTTTACAAAAGAGTCTCATGCTTTTTGCCTTTTAAATATTTATTCATTGTATAGCTAGCAACCTATATAAACTGATACCAATCAGATAAAATTATAGCTCTTTTCGGCTAAAATAGAGCCACTATTTGTTTTCCCATTAAAACTTGGTACATGGCAAAACATCCAAAACTCCATATCAATTTAAAACTCATCCTTGTATCATTTATTGGACAAAATCCAAAGTCAGACATTACTTTCTTCCCCACTCCCTGCATCTCTCATACACCCCCAATGTATTGTAGAAGCTTCTCTAGTATCACCGATCAGATGTTGTGAGAGCATGCAAGACTAGAGGGGGAATTACATTCTGCCTCAGTCTACTGATGGATGCCTTACATCAGAGGGACATACTGTTTAGATACAAACTATAATCTTATTTATGTAGGGTAGGCAAAGTATGGCCAACCAACACTAGTTCCAGTGGAAAAAAATGTCCACCCATGTCCTCCACCTCCATCTGTTAGACTGCTTTCAGTTTTAAGAATTAAACAGGCCTAAGGAATCCAGTGGAACATTGAAAAGGTCCTGTTTCTTGTCCCCATTAGTCTAATTCATCTTCCTATCTGGGCTTCAACATGAGCCTCCAGAATTAATCTTCAATAGGTTCATGGGATGATGGATAGCCTTCAAATATCCTGACACCTGACCCATTTGAATCCAATACAAGTTAGAGAAATAGTCAAATTTCCTTCCTGCACCTAGATATACAATATTACAATATAAGGATAAAAAGAAAATCTGTGAAAAAGGATTTCCCTCCCCCCAATTAAATCAGAGTTTCTGGAGTAAAGAAACAATTTTCTCCAGCACTGAAAAATCAGCTTTTATTGGGAAGGAGATGGGATACAATTTGGAAGCAAGGGGGAAAAGTCTGCTGTCAAATATGCCTGATTTCTCTCAGTTGCAATCTTAACAGTGCTCTAATCTTAGCATTCTCTTCTGGCAGCCTAACAAGATTCCCAGCTTCCTGCTGTCAGCATCTTTCCTGTGACAGTGTTATATATTAGTCGCTTATACCCACTTAGAGACAGGAAAATTTAGCATAATTTTTAAGGAAATGAAGTCTTTAGAAAGATTAGTGTGAGAGCCTCTAATATAGATTGGTTTCCAACATCTCCAAAAGAATGATGCTCCTCCCAACAGTGCAGTAGCCAAAACTGTACAATTTTGTACAATAATATTGAACAATTTAGAGAACATTTTCAAGTGTCAAAATAATCTCTCCTATGTTTTGACTTTTTGAAAAGCACAAAGATGCTTATCAATGCCTTGGGGAGGCAATTTTGCCATGGTTTTGACCCAATGAGGACTTTTTTAAACCAGGAAGTAAAGCATAGGGGATGCCTTTTTTAAAAAAAGTCCACTAGATGTTGCCATGGCCAAAATAAAATAAAATAAATGGTTTGTTTGTTGGAAGGCCCTTGAAGTCTTCAGAAACAGTCTTAGGACTGTGTGCATTCTATAGCCCATATTTTCCCACCCTGCTATTGAATGTCTTGAGATTCATCTGAGTCCTGAATTATTTTCATACACTACACAATTATAGTGTTATATTCCACTTTAATTGCCATGGCAACATCCTGTGGGATTCACAGTTTTATGAAGTGTTCAGAATTCTCAGAGAGCACTAGTGCCTTGTTGTTGTTGTGTGCCTTCAAGTCATTTCTGAGTTATGGCGATCCTAAGGGAAACTTGTAATGGGGTTTTATTGGCAAGATTTGTTCTGCGGAGGCCAACTACAAACCCCAGGATTGTGTAGGATGCTGCCATGGCAGTTGGCTGTATCCTACAGTAGAATTATTGTTGCGGGCCTTCAAGTTATCTCCAGTTTACTGTGACCATATCATGGGGTTTTCTTATTCAGAAGAGGTTTGCCTTTGCCCTTCTCTGAAGCAGAGAGAATGTGAGTTGCCCCGGGTCATCCAGTGGGTTTCCATGGCTGAGCAGGGCTTTGAACCCTGGTCTCCAGAGTCATAATCCAACATTCAACCACTACACCATGCTGGCTGCCTCTAATGTACCTCTATTATTCTGCAGTGTGAAAGGGCACCTACTGGTTTCTCCACTCTTATCTCCACTCTTACCTCCAATCAGAGACAGCAAATTATTGGAGTGACTGGAGACAGTGGTAGATGGTCTTTCCCACTGTCAGCTGGTGCTTTCAGGCACTGTCAAAGCATTTATCTTCTATTCCCCAAATCAACACAGCCTTCTTAGGGCAAAAAAATGAAATGCATAGATATAAGATGGGGGACACCAGGCTTAACGAGACTATGCGTGAAAGAGATCTAGGAGTCCTAGTAGACCACAAGTTGAACATGAGTCAACAGTGTGATGCAGCAGCTAAAAAGGCCAATGCAATTTTAGGCTTCATCAATAGAAGTATAGTATCTAGATCAAGAGAAGTAATAGTGCCACTGTCTTCTGCCTTGGTCAGGCTCCACCTGGAATACTGTGTCCAGTTCTGGGCACCACAGTTCAAAAAGGATGTTGAAAAACTGGAGCATGTCCTGAGAAGGGCAACTAAAATGGTGAAGGATCTGGAAATGATGCCCTATGAGGAACGACTTAGGAAACTGGGTATGTTTAGTCTGGAGAAGAGATGGTTAAGAGCTGATATGATAGCCCTGTTTAAAATATTTGAAGGGATGTCATATTGAGGAGGGAACAAGCTTGCTTTCTGCTGCTCCAAAGAACAAGACCCGGAACAACAGATGCAAGCTACAGGAAAAGAGATTCCAGCTCCACATTAGGAGGAACTTCCTGACAGTAAGGGCTGTTCGACAGTGGAAGACACTCCCTTGGAGTGTGGTGAACTCTCCTTCTTTGGAGGTCTTTAAACAGAGGCTGGATGGCCCTCTGTTGTCGGGGATGGTTTGATTTTGAGTTCCTGCATGGCAGGGGGTTGGACTGGATGGCCCTTGTGTTCTCTTCCAATTCTATGATTCTATGATTCTCCATTCAAAATCTGAAGACAACAGATTTTACCCTCTCATTGAACCTTTGTTCCCCCACCTATGGCCATTCTTGTTGGCCCTTGATTCTAGTAATTGGTGTGACGTCAGTAGACTGCAACTGCTCATTTCTCTGGTGAACTTCCACATAGTAATTGTTGAGAGCCACTCTGTCTCTCCATGATCATATTGGTTCCTGTGACAATCACTTACTCCCACTTCATAATGAAAACATTTCCCCCCCTCTTCTTTCTTCTTTCTTCTTTCTCTTTCCTTTTCCTTTACAAGCCTTCATTCTATGCCTCCTCCTCTTCCATCCCACCCAGTAATCATTCCCTTGTACCTGTTGCCAAAAGTGGCCTTGTTCACAATGTCCCATTTTTCAGATCACTTGTCCCTGGCAATAACAATGACTTATTTTTATTCTGGCATGCATGTATATGTGTGCTGTTTTCAACTAGGGCTTGGAAGTTCTAGGTTCAAGTCTCCACAGAGCCACAAAACTCATTGTTGGCCCTTGGCCCAGTCTATATCACATACTTGTTGCGTAGATCAAGTGGGGAGAAGCAGAGTCATGTATGCTACTTTGGGTACATATTGGGTGGGGGAGTCTACAAAGTCCCCATTTGCCACCTGCTGAGAGCCAAAATCCCACAACAAAAGTGAGTTATTTAAAAGTGGATTAGCAGGAGGAAGCCCCAAATCAGATGTTGGCATTGTACAGACAGTCTGGACCCAATTTGGACATTTGGTGTCATGTAAACAGAACTCAGCAAGCCCAGGAGGAAATCTGAGGTCAATCAGTCATGTAAACAAGGCCATAGATGCCTTCTAAAACCAGAAAGAATGATGGAATGCGCTTTAAAAAGAGAAGGAGAAGAGATTGGAAAAACTGTGTATATATAAATAAATTGTTTGTGGCTTCCCATAACTTATTTGCCACTATTCTCCCCCCTGCACCCTGCATTAGTGGATTTTCAGTCATGGTGTCAGATACCCATTGAGACAGGTCATGCTTGATGGAGAGTGAAGTCATCAGAAACGGATATGGAGCATTGCTTCTGCTTTATAGCACCAGATGTTTGTAATGAAAAAAAATATATGACAAGACTAAATATGGAACAGTTTCTATCATCTCTAATTATCCAGCTCTATCACTGCCTAGTTAAGACAGCTGGCTAAGAGCCCACATCAGATTCTATAATTTTGCTGAACTCTGAGATGGGCTTAGCATCTGTTGAGGAGCCAAGGCATAATTAGATTTAAATGTTAACTCTGCTGATGGTGTCAGCCTGATTTGTGGTCAGGTGATTTTATTTATTTATTTATTTATTTATTTATTTATTTATTGTCACCATCAGCCCTGGCTTCTGTAATATTGTAGAATCATAAGTTGGAAGAGACCTCAAGGGCCATCCCGTCCAACCCCCTGCCATGCAGGAACTCACAATCAAAGCACCTTCGACCGATGGCCATCCAGCCTCTGTTTAAAAACCTCCAAAGAAGGAGGTTCTACCACACTCCAAGGGAGTGTGTTCCATTGTCAAACATCTCTTATTGTCAGGAAGTTCCTCCTAATGTTGAGTTGGAATCCCTTTTCCTGCATCCATTGTTCCATGTCCTATTCTCCGGAGCAGCAGAAAACAACTTGCTCCATCTTCAGTATGACATCCCCTCAAATATTTAGACAGAACTATCATCTCTTGAGGTTGAGGCAGCAGAGCCTGGGAAATTATTTTTAAACTAGAGCTCCCAGAATCCCCTGGACAAGATGGCTAGTGCTCATAGTGACTCAGAGTTCTGAGACTTATAGTCCAAAAAGTAACTTTTCGAAGCTGTAAATGGCAAAGGTAGTCTGTAGCTAGGGGGAAGTATCCTATTCATTCCAAGCAATTTACCTTAGTATTTTTGTCTAGAGTCTGGATACATGACAGATGTTTCTTTTTCTTCATTTATTTACTCCATTTGTTTTTATCATTAAAAGTTTTGTCCATTCATTCATGATATTTAGAAATGTATGGAACTAGTTTGCTTGCTTTCATTATTTCTGTTGGTTTTTTTTTTCATTTTCCATGGATCGTGTGTTTGTGTGTGTGTGTGTGTGTGTGTGTGATCAACCCAATCTTTTGGCATACAATTTTCAGCCATTCTGTCGCTTGTAAAGGAAAAAATAGAAAATGTAATCTAAGATAGTCTGGCTTCTATATAGTCTGTACAGTGTAGTGCCTATTCAATGAAGAATTATAGAGAAAAATCCTCAGTACACCATGAAAAACAAAACACCTTCCCCTCCCAAGTTTAGAAGAAAAATAACCTGAAAAATCCTTCTTGGGTAGATGACTAGGCAATTTGTGGTCCATTGCTCAATGGATTGTAATTTTAAAGGAGAGACGAGGGCATCACCTTTGTTATTTGGTTGTCAATCTAAAATTCCAAGGGGCTTATTTCCAAGCGAATTACATGTTTTGAAAAATACACTTGTATCATTTTTTCCTGTTTTTCTTGACACTTGTTTTCCATCTGTTTGCAGTTCTTTAACCATTGCTATTACCATGGTATTGATAAATCTGTTATGGCTATTGTGTTGCACTGGATGCTAGACTTTATGTAAGAAAGAATGGCTGATGGGTCACACAAGCAGCAGATAAAGCTTTATGCCCGGACTGCACTCTTACAAAGATCAGGATATTCACTTGCTTTGATGCTTCCCTATACCAAAAAATTCATTGCATGTAGAAAATTAGAAAGGTTCCAGTCTGTTCTTCTCGCTGTCATGCCAGCTTTCTGTACGCAGGGAATTTTCATATAAGGGAGTATCTCTTCATGTTAGCCTCTCCAATACATGGTCTGAAATATTCCTGTCTGGATTCAGATTTGGGACTTCCTCTGCTTGCTTGGTTTGTTTGTTCCTGTAATTAAATTAATTTTATCCTAACCATCAATGAATGAGCTCAGGCATCATGCATGGTTTTCAAATCTCATTCTCTCTCTCCTTCTTTCTCTTTCCCTCCCTTCCTCTGCCCCCCACATTTCACAACAACCCAGCAAGTAAGGAACACTGAGACAATAGTGGTCGACGCAAAGTCAGAAGTAGCCTTATCTTAAGTCAGTCTGTTGCTCCATCAAGAGTAGCTAATTGGCAGAAGCCCTCCAAAGTTTCCAGGCGGGATACTTTCCTAGCCCTGCCTGAAGATCCCAGGTATTCACATTACTAATCTCATCTGATTTCAGAAATAAGCAGGATTTAGAGACATAGGTGTGTTAGTTTGAAATATTAATATGCAAAGGGATCTTGTAACACCGTTGAGGTAGGCAACCTTTCCCCTTTAAGGGCCGAGGGACTTCAGGAGCTATTGGCCAACATGGCTGAGGTTTCTGGGAGCTGAAGTCCCTTGGTCCTTAAAGGGGAAAGGTTGCCTACCCCTGGTTGAGAAATTGTAGCATATGATTTTGTAGACTAGGTCTACTTCTTCAGATGCATTGAATGAAATGATGCCCAGAAAGGACCTTTAACATCAGACTATGTCTGAGTTTGGGTATGTGTGTATGGTGATGAAATAAGCAAGGTTAGGCCTTGCTTCTTCTTTATTTAAGATATTTATACCCCAGTCAGCCCCCCAAAAGTGTTTTTACAGAGCTGTTTATGTATTATCCGTTTGACAGTTCTTTGTCAATACCAGGGACTTCTAGTTAGGTCTAGGAAACAGTTCTGTCTGAAACACTGGAAGTATATTAATCCATGCATAGTTGTTTATAGGAGCTTCATGATCCCAAAAGAGCCTTATCCTTTGGTATAGTACTCTGAGCTGACATCTCAAATGTTTTCTCGCCAGAGAAGATCATGGCCTGAATAGAATTGGTAGTGATGGGTAGGCAAACCATAGTTTGGAAACTCCTTTTTTAGGTAACAACTAGCTGGAGGATTTAAGCAACTGTGGTGCAAAAAAGTAACGCTCCTAATCTCTGGAACTCTTCTACTCTGAATATAAATATCTTCCCTTCCCTCTCCCTGCCAGCTCAATTTGCCCTGTACAGCATCTCTACTCCTTTCCC